ATTAAGGCCGATTTGATGTAAATCTTTTGCAGTGTGAGTATCAGTTCCGCCAGAGGTTCTTGCAATATAACTTGGTCCCCTTGGACAGCCGTACATAATTCCAGCTTAACTGGTACCACAACGTTCTCGTCCGCCTCAAAAAAGGTTTTGAAATGCGGCAATATCATCTCTAATATATATTCCGTTATCTCGATATTTTTCAACATGGCTTCATATAAACCTAGATTGATTAATTAATTATTTTATAATCTTTTAGCGAACAAGGTAACATAATCTCTGTTCTAATCTCGCGTACCATTGTATAAGTGTAATCGAACTTCACATTCATGAGTGAAACATCTTCTTAAAATGCCCAATACATCGTAACATAAAGTTCTATTGTATCTTGAGGTAGATCCTGTTGCTTGAGTGCCTCTCTCTAATGTCACCTGCGAAACAATGTCAGAACAATTAGTAATTTTACAGTTGCGAAAATTTATCGACTCTAACGATACGAGTAATAAAACCTGAGTCAAGATGGACGTGGAACTCGCGCCAGTCGATGAACTTCCGTACTGACTAGAGCTCACCGCAAGACCGCTCAGAGAGTGCATTTTCACATTCCTTAACATTTCCAAAATCCCACTGACCGCCATTTGTCGATTAGACGTACCCTTTCTATAGAGAGCCTTTCTCAATGTTAAGACTAAATGTTCTCTTATGCTGACTGAGACTCGTATCAATGGAAATATCGCGGATACGATAAAAATGGCAATCTCTCCAGGTATAGATGAGATCTGGTCGAAAAGCATTATTATAGAATCTTGATGATCCAGTACCAGAACTGTTAACTTGCGGCACATATACGCTAAACAATCTGTAAATAAACGATAAATAATAACAGCTGTGCCAATGTTTAAATTATGAATAACGAGCTTTACAATAATTAGTTAACTAATCAGAACATCAGAACCTACCGGTATATTTAAAAATACACGATCCACCGGCGGTTATTTTATCAATCAACTTTTGAAATATAGTCGCGACCGTTTCGTGATGCTTTCTCATAATCTTTTGGAGTATCTTTGTACCGATCTGCCATAAAGGATGCGCACCCGTTTTCATTTTATTCTCAGCAGCCATAAGAACAAATGCGAGATCCACAAGGCCTTTCAATACTAAATGACGATCCCTGTTACTATATAATTAAAATAATGTAGTAATGTATTAAAAGATTTGATATTAAGGTTTCATATAATGCACTGCATATTTACCTCGCCTCAATGACGTTTCCTATCACAGCCGTTATGCTAAAAGAATCAGGAATCAATTTTCTCAACCACGCACTATTTTTTAGTTTATTGTCATTTTCGTTTCGTTTATTAATGACCGCTCGCAGCATTTCGAAAATCTACAACATTACATTGAGTCAAAGTATAAGATAAGCATTAAAATATGCGAGAATTAACGTATTAATCACCTGATTTTCATCAATAGAAGCAACTGTGAGCAGCACGGACAGCATGAAAGGCTCTAATATAGCTTCAGGGGTATGTGACACGCTTTTGAAATACTTGATGTAGTCTCTTATATGTTGGTGATTCAATTCTGCCGCTTGAGATATGTGATACAATACTGTACTTTCAATGCTTTGAACTTCTTTCGGATTTACCACATCTGTAATTCACCAATTAAAAATTAAGATCCGTAAAGAAAAATATGTATGTCATACATAATTTAAAAATGTAACTCAGAAATTATAACAACTAAAATTAAATTCTTTTAGACTTTCCTTACATAATTTTAAAATTATATTATACAATTAAATTCTATTGATCATATACTTGTATCGTATGTTTTTATGTTTATGATGTAATGGTATAATTACGTTATATAGTTAATTAATATTATATAATTAATACATTGTTATATAATTAAACTACATCACTATATTTTTCTTACCTATAGTCTCAAAAGTGTCAGTATCGTCAGTTTGCGAGAAGCGTAGGGTGAAATACTTTCGTAAGGCTTCCAAGAGGTATTTACTATCCTGATTAGCGCACAATCTTAACAATTGATGCACAAGAGGAGGCAGTTCCTCAAGAGATATATCTTGTAATCGTTTGCAGAGTACTGTGATTACTATAGCATGATCCTCCTTCTCCAAGGATATATCTCTAAGTATAAAAAAAGTCATTAGTTTCTCAATTATGCATTTACTTCTTCTATCAACAACTCTTACCTAAACATTCTCGCCAGCGAGGGCATTATCTGCGTATCCCATTCACTGTTGCATATGTTATTAACAATAATTGACTTGTATTTGGTGCCAGAAACCTCGCCGTTCATGTGACTAATATATTTCTCTTCCTCCAACACTTCCAGCAAAACAGGCAACAGCTCCTTCCAACTGCAACATATCATAACGTTAGTTTCTTTCCTTTTTCCGTCGTAATAAGGCTGCGAAGTGATTGTACTTTCTGAATTCGTCATCATTGTTGCGAATACTAGCGAGACAGAAGTCCACCAGTTTGACCAGATGCAGCTTCGGGTAGTTAGGAAAGTCCACCACTATCCGATTCACGATCTCGTTCGCGTGACTGATCGAGACCTTGGTCTTGCCCAGTGCCTTCAGGGCGGACTCGACAAGTTTGACTCTCTTGGCGTAGAGACCCTCCGACTCGGAACATACCTGCAGGACCTCGTCCAGCACCCGGGATATGTCCGCGTTGCAAATTCCGCTCGATATTATCTTTGTGAGCTGTAATAAAATTACCGTCTAATTACCGTCTTATCAAGAATCTTAACGTAATCTCGTAAACAATCGGCATGTAGATAACAAGGCATATCTCGCGACGCGACTTGCATTCTTTACCTCCTCAGTCGAGGTCTCCCGCACGAATTCGTTCAGCTGCGCCCGGTCCTTCTGGCTAAGCAAACTGTTCAGTTTCGCGCTCATCTCGGAATGACAATTCAACTGCGTTATTTATGAGCGATAAACATGTATCTCCTCTTTCCTAACGTTTTCAACAATAATATTTCCCGCTCGCGCGAACCTAACTTAACCTGGCAACCTAGAACCGGTCTGCCAATCTGAGAAAAAACAGGTCCGCTCTCGTCTCGCTTGCACTCCCTAGAACCCCCCGCGCCTGAAACGAGAGATACACGCAGCGAAGCGTCGGGAAGAAAGAGACGAGAAGCCGAGGTGCAAAAGATGCAGATAAAACGTGCAGGAGTGAGGTTAAGGTTAGCATGGCGGTCGATCGGCACTTTCGTTGACTTTCGATGACCGGGCGACAACGTCGATCCGTTTATGCGGTCGAATAACAATTAATATTAGGTTTATTTTCGCTGAACTGGCGCGAACGATGGCGGACGACGACGTGAACGGGGACTCGGACGAGGTGCAGCAGGAGAAGTCGCAGAAAAAGGCGGCCAAGTACGACAGCGGCGCGGCGGACCTGGAGAAGGTGACCGATTACGCCGAGGAGAAGGAGATCTCGTCGTCCGATGGATTTTCCTGCGTGAGTGTTCTCGCTTGTCCTCCTCTTCCCCCGGGTAAACTAGAATTCCAGCCCGTCCCCACGCTACTCGCGTCGATCCCGAGTGCTGACTCGAGGTTAACTCGGTTTTCGCATTAAAAAGTGTGTCTAACAGGCCCTGAGCATAATCGGCGACCGTCGAGACAAGGAGGCCGCGGAGAAGAAGGCGAAGGAGAAGGAGCTGCTCAAAGTGTCCATTAAGAAAGAGGACGTCGACTTGATTGTGAGTACATGGCTAGCCCCGCTTGGAAATCCAAAGTGGCGAACCTGGAACCTGCGAGACCTCGTGGTGTCTTCTGGTTTCAGATGAAGGAGATGGAGATCAGTCGGATCTTGGCTGAACAAACTCTCAGGGAACACAGGGGCGATATCGTAGAGGCATTAATTACGCTAACTAATTGAAATTGTACAGAAGAAATTGGTCCTGAGATCTGGTATCGTATCTCTGAATTCCACTGTAAAATATATTGAATAACAAGAGTCCCGAGACTCTAGCTTATTAATACTTACTGACGTACGTTACAATGTTTTCTAAGTAATTTATATTTTCATCGTTTTCTCTCGTATCGCCTACTTGTTAAGCAAACGCGAGTGCTATAAGTAAACAATAATAACAGTGATGTATTGTAATAAGTATATATATATATATATAAATATATGCATTTATAATGTGTAGCAGAAGTGATTTACTGAAGGTAACATGTCCGCCTTGACGCCTTATCGTCAAAATTTTAAAATATAGAGAAATCATTGCCATTATTGATACGAGGAAATATCTGTTCCTGTCCGAGGCCTGTTGATTACCGATGCGTTATCAGACGATGCGTTCATATTGATAAGATTAATATGGGCATAAATATCAGGCTTTAAGATATAGAATGTTCAGTACATTTGCATTGGGTGCCGGTTTACATTGTCTTAATGTGTTTGTTGTCGCGAAACTATTTCTTCTGCGCGTATCGCTGTTGCATCTCTACGTTATCTAGCTAGAAACGCGTGATTGCTCGTTAATTATGTCGGCGCAAGTGAAGTTTGGATGATTCTTTATTTGCTTATAAATAGATGTGACATCATGGACTCTTACTCGTTCTTACTCTTATTGGGATATTTATACTTTTGCATTGCGATAAATCCAATCGAGAACTCAGGTATGTGACATTATATTTGAACGTATACACATGTAATGTAATATAATTTTTTAATTTTTTCGTACTTAAATATTTTCAATTTTCTTGTCGCGCTTTAAAGTGAGTGCGTATTAATAAGCGTAGAATACTATCTTTCAATGGCGTGATCCTTTTGTAAAGTGTCTATCTAAATCCGTGTTTCAACAGATTGGGTCGCGAGATTTCCCGAGATTTCGGAAAGATACGCATCTCTAGATAATTGTACGCAATGTGACGTCAAGCAAGACTCGTCGTGCTCCTGCTTCCGTTATGGTGGTGAGTTAATATCGAAGTTTTTCGTGTACGATTGTGAGACACCACACATCTATTTTGTGTGTATGAAATACATTTCAAAGTGTCATTCGAAATGCACAATAATTGTAACACACACACACATACATACGCGCACGCGCGCGCGCATGTATACAATTATATTAATTGTGAATGACTAAAATATTTAATTATATAGTATAATTATTAATATAATTATGATATATACGTTTTAAAATACATATGTATTTAAGTAAATGTGTGTTTTTTTCTAAGTAATTAAACGCAAGAATTATAGTCTTTCGATATCTTTGAAAAATCGTGTTATGGGGAGAACATATCTCGATGAAAGTTAATGAACATTACATTTGATTCAAATTTTGCGCTCTTCTAAGGAACTTACTTTAGAGTGGCGCGAAATTTAAATCATATTTAGTTTGCGTGTACTAAATTTAAGTGAAATTTCGCGCTTGATTCAGATATGAAGTCGATTACTGATCAGTTTGGCGCGAAAGTTAAATTTGATCCAGGACGATTTACCTTTTTTTGAAATATATACTCCTGATGATTTTTCAAATCGAAAGACGCGCACAGCAATTTTCGTAATTAATTGTAAAGCATATTTTTACATCATATTTTTCGACGATGATTACGTTTCTATAATGCGACAACGAATGTATGCGAAATGTCATATGATAATCAGTTTTCATCTTATGAATGTTTTTCTTGAGAGTAATTAGAATGTAAATCGTAAAACGACAACGTAACTTTTTACTTCGTATATTTTTCGACAGTACATTTTTATCGCAATAACCGGATCACAATCAAGGCGTACCAATAATTTACATCATCATTACATAAACTGAATCTTGAGAAAAGAATCTGTTAAGTCTGTCAAAACTCGAGATTGTATCTAGTGCAACACTGTATTATTCTGTAACGTTGTCTAGCAGTCTGTGTATTTTTATAAGACATAAATTGTAAACACGCGTACTTGATCGCGATCGCCTCAAACAAATCGCATTGCGACACGATAAAAAAACATTGTATATCGTTATATTACCTATATTTAATGCTAAAAAGTAAGATTTTTTTCTGACAAAATATGCTGACGATAAAAAATGCTCCGCGCACATTGGTAGTTTGTAATTATTAGTATTAAGAATCTTTACGATCTCTAGTTTCTCTGTAAATTTTGAAAAATCTTTAATTTTTTGTACATTTTGAAATTTGCAGATAAGTGTGCAATTTGCTGTTATAGCGTTTCATGCTGTGTCTGCGCGGATTGTGGTATGTGCCGGTAAGAATTAATGAGGTCGCTTGCACGCCAGCAGATGTAACTGTGCCTCGTTTCCCAATTGGATCGAGACCCAGTTTAATAATCGGCAATTTTTATTTCAGGTATACGCAGCAGCAACTGATATTAATGACGCAAATCGGTATTTCCATACTGTTCGGATTCGGTATCGTCGGCCTGATCGTAGTTTACTGCAAAATATGCAACAGGTAGGCGAGGGCACGTCTGATAAATTCATCCTTTTAATTTTCTCCGCTGTCACCCGTTATTACTGCTCGCAAGCGAACATGACTTTGTCGAATTTAATGACATTTCATGACGAATGTAGCTTCGTTATCGAACTGCTAAATCTTGTTTTTTTTCTCCTTAATCTCGAATATCAATCTTAATTGATTGAGCGTCTTGACTGACGCAACCGCATGCTGGTGGCATGAATAAAAAAGCAATTATAATCGCGGTCATGTTCCAACGTTTTCTTAAAAAATTTTTTAAGACTTAAATTAATAAGCAAATAAATCGATTAATTTTTATAAAGTTAGTCCTTCAAGTATACACTTTTTACTCGTCTCGTAAGCGCGATGAAATTTGTTTCCCTAATACTCTTCATGATTCTTCGAAGGTATCGAAAAACGCGCACAGCAATCCTCATCGAGGTAAAACTTTGAAGATGCAAATAATTCCCCGCTTGTAAGGCACTTTAAATGTATTTTCGTAATTCAGGACGAGGCAGGTTGCACGAGAACGCAGAAGGTTGCGCGTCGTGTTGCACGAGGAGCGTGACTTGGTGACGCAGTGCAGCACCATCATCGAGGGCCTACGGGACAGACCGCCTTCGTACAACGAGGTCATCCGCAATGCTTCGCCCGTCTACCCATCTTCCTGCGCTCCTCCTCTCTATTCGTCTCCGTACAACAGAGTATATAGATTAACATATTTTTAGTTTACTGATTACGATAAAGATATACTGATAAAGATATACGTTCGCTAAAACTTACCGCGATATGAGAGATAAAAATGTTTTTCGAGTGACGATAAAATTTTGTCTACTTGCAGGCGTCCATGCAGGAAGCTCCGCCATCGTATCCGGGAACGCCGAAACCGCAGGAAAAATCGCGAGACTCCGACGAACTCCCTTCTTCGCTTCCCGTTGCTCAGCACATGTAATAATAACTCTTACAGACAATCGTCCATCTGCGTGTACATACATTATGTATGCCACTCGAATAAAACGTAATCTGTAGATTTATTTAAGAAAAAGTCGTGCGGTGCTACGGGTATTCGTTTGTATTAGACTCCGAAAGTCTCGATCTTCCAAAATCTTTTCTAGATTTTACCGAATTCGTCTGGTCGTGATACAATATCGCGATCTCGATAATCTCGCGATTCGCACGCAGAGATCTAAACGTAGCGATGGAGGGGTAATGAAAAATCACGCTCCGTTATATAATGAAAATGTCATTTATTTGATGTGGTGCAATGACTTAAAGTAAAATGGAAAATGAATGTCTGCGTGTATGAGCTGGGTTCAATGAGCGGCGCGCGTAACAATTCTCGCGGATCAGCCACTACCGCAACCATCAAAAAATTTTTTTTTTTTACAAAAGAGCGCTTCAAATTTCTAAATGCAATATACAACGGATTTGTGTGTATGCATGTTGTGTGTAATGTATGTGTATTTGTCAGAGAGCGAGCGTGCGGTAGTAGCTAGTGACGGTGGTGATCCCAATCGGTCACCCAACACGCGCCGGCTTTCATCATGATGAGGTAACACTTGTCTTACTTGTACTTAATAGTTTATCAAATTATATCCAGTCATACGCTCGTATTATTCCTGCTGCGGGTTTCGTACGGAATTGCGCCTACATCTGTGTATGTGTGTACAATTTTTGTTTTCCTTTCGATCTGTATTTTTTACGAATTGCTATCTCAGAATTAGCTTTATTCTGCTCTCTTATTTTTTTCCAGTTTCTTTTTTCTTTTTCGTTTTCTCTAGGAAAAGACATTCAACGTTACGTGTGTGTTCCACGAAAGAAATCGCCGCACAGTCCCAAAGATAGATATGAGAATTAGAGAATGGTCGCAGATTTTTTAAATATGAATCAGCACGGCCAAAGTCTGTTCCTTAAATTGCTACTATACCCGCTTTTGTATCTAAATCTTTCTTTTTGCTCTTTTTTTTCATCTTCTTATTTAAGTCCTGTATCACCTAAGACTCAAATAAAAAGATTTGACGTAGAAAAACAGTGGAAAATTTCTCCTAACTAGATTTCCATCGGTTCAAACTTTTGATCTATGACGCGATATCGCTTCGCTCGACGACGCTACGCAACGAATGCGCGCCTCCTAATCTGTATCAATTTTTTCGGCGTTACGTTACGTTTATAAGTTATAAAGCGTCGGTAGTGTGTTTTCAAGGAACATGAGTTTAGCGTAGTCTGTAAACTCGAAATAAATTATACATTACTTGATTATTGTACGGTTTTCGTAAAAGTATGGGATCCTCGTACGTGATTTTGTTTTGTTCTTATAAAATACACAGCAGATATGTACAGTGTAAAAATCTTAAAATCGATAGTGACACGCTAGGTTTGGGACTGTCCGGATAACGACTGTCGCTTATCGTATGTATTTTATATAACAAGTAAATTCACTGGCTGCCAGGATCGTCAAGGGATGGGGGGTGGGGAGCGGGAGGGGGTCTGTCTCTAGAAAGGATCGATTATACAATTGCAGTAATTACAAGTGGTCTTATCACAGAACATGTATGGCATTAATTGTCATCATTAATGATGTGTAAATGGTAATAAGTATTCCACATATTTAAAACTCGGCTTTCGATAAAGCTAAAGATCGGAGGATCAGGAAGCCAGTACACGGTACTAAACGATTGATTATTATTTTTCGCCTCTGCGGTTGCCCATAATTCAGTTCATTGACCACACGCAATTTTACAGACCAATCAAATTAACGACGCGAAAAAAAGGGAGCGATTAACGTCCCGCGCTATAATTGACTAACGTTTCTATTTTACACGATTTTTTTAATATGTCTTTTCTTTCTTCATTCTTCTCGTCCATTTTTTATTCAATACGTAAATAACATACAAACTTTGAATTGCGGATCATAACGTCTCTAAAATGTAACCAGTATGCGCGCGGGGGATGTGAGGATATACACCCCCGTGATATTCAACGTGAATCCGATAAATTATGGACAACCCTAAATTTAATAACGTAATCATTAATAATAATAATTAATAATAATAATAATTCGATCCTATCACTTCGCTTACAGTATGCAATACTCCAGAAAACAAGACAAACTGTGCCTACTGACGGAGGAAGGGGGGACGGGAAACAAGGGTAAGGTTTATCGTGGCAAAAGGGAAAGGGGGAGAGATAAGTTTATCTGTAGACAAAAATATACAAAAATACATAGGGCACAGATTGCGTAGCATTAATAGTAATAATAATATTCAGAGAAAGAGATCATAAAAAAAGAACACTAACTAGAATGATTTCTCCGTCTTGGAAGAGTTTGAGACGCGTTAAAAACTAAAAAGATCACTACTATCAGTAGAAACAAACAAAGTATTTAATTCTCTCCGTGCTCGACGCGTCGAGCGTACGGCGGCTACGGGACATCCGTTTGATCCATCTTTTCTCCTCGTGCTTTCTTTCGACAAAGGAACAAAATGTTTAAATCGTCTGGCCGACGTCTATCACAACTTCCTTCGTGCATCGCGTATTGTTGTTGCTGCTGTTGCTGTTGTGGCAATCGCGACGGCGAGTCACGTGGAGAGAAGCTCCTCGCCTTTCCTTGGTCCTCTCTGGCTATACACTCCGTGTCTTTAATGTCTCGCGCGACCGTCTGCTTCCAGTCCGTTCGTTCGATGATAACGGAAACGAAAGCAAGTCCACAATGACGGTGATAATCCTGATGACATGTTCCAACGTGTCATCAAGATTGATTGGCATCGGGGTTTTGACGGTGAAGAAAACGAGCGCGATGCGACTATGGTACTGCTGCTGCTGTTGCCGCTTTTACTGAATCGACTCGCGCTCAGGCCGAGAAGTATGGATGCTGATGGGGATGCGCGGATATGAATGCGGATACGTAGGCTTTCGGACATCTTGTTCTTCTCTTCGACGCGCGGAGTCGAAACGAGCAGCGCGCTAATGGTGGTCACATCACGTCGAGTTCTCTCTCACTATCGACACTTACTTGAACACAAAAAGTCCGAGCATGTGTGGGAGCGCCTCTTTTAAAACTCGCCCTCGATCGACCGAACGGACAAGACGATTTTCTTTCTCTTGCCATCGATTTCTGAATACCCTCAACCGAAGCTCGTTGACAACGTCGGGGTGATTCTCACATCGGTTCTCGTCGTCGATTTTTCTTTTTAGACCAGAGAGTGGCGCACTAGGAAACATTTATTTAGCACTACTATACTTCATTATATCACTGTACACAAAGGTTCAAGAGGGATGCAAAAGTGGTGGGGGCGATGTAGAGGTCGTGCCCGGGGTCAGCGGTGACTGCTTTCAGCTCTGTTTCACTCGTTTCCTGGGCGGTCCGATCGGTGGGATTTGCTGGGTCGCCAAAGCCCGGAAAGCTTCTGCTATCAGGTGCGGATGGGAATTCACCATGGACTTGAAACCCACGGTATCCATCACATCCGTCGCATGTCTGTAAAAGCATTGATTAGAAATCGCGAGTTTCATCGCGTTCACCCACAGCTAAAGAATATAATTTTGATCGTTGAAAGAGCAAAATTATCTTTTAGCCGATGAGCTGACATACGTGTGTGCGTTGCAGGCACACTTCTTTCCCGCGAAATTAACTTACGTATTAATGAAGTCTATCGCCTGTGCTTTCAGCTGATCGGCGCTATGGAGATCGGCAAGTATGAGGATTTCAGCCGCGTTCTCAATGGCTAAACTTGTGCAAAGTGCTTCTTCGCACATTACCTTCAGCCTCTCCAACGCGTACTTGTCCGCCGCGGCTAACAGATCATCCGCCATCTTCTCCAGATTCGCCGCTTTACCGGTATAAATAAATCGCAGCATTTCTCTCAAGACTTCGTGGTCCACGTCGGTGATGTCGACGTGATTTTTCTTTCTCTCCTCCATCTCGTGCTCGAACATTGCCGAGAAGACGGGACTTCGGGCTGCAAATCGCAATTGCAAAATTATTCAAAATTATCATTCTTTAGCATAAAGACGCGCGTTATCAGTTTTTACTCATAATTTTACTCAAAGGGATAAGATTCTATATTTTTGCATATTGTATTGCACATTGTATTTGCATATTGCACATATATATGTATATATTTCTTTTAATTATACATTCAAGCACAACAGAGTTGTGGACGAAGAGCCTTACCTGCGAGAATTGCTTTGTGCGCCTGGAACTCCCTTCCGCAGACAGTGAGCGTTACGTCGCTAAATTTTTGGTTCTCAAACAGCAGCCCGAGATCATCGGGCAGCCGGCACTCCGGCACTTTAAATTGTATCGTATTACTCTGCCCGGAGATGTTTACACTGTCCGCCACCACGCTGACCTGTGGAGATAACGGAATTAGAGGTGCTCGGCTCAGCCGACGAAATATGCGCGAGTAACGAGATCGAGTAGATGTTACAATCGACATACAAAGGTATATACCTCACAGAATATCGTGAGTTTGTCGTCTGGCAGCAGTCCGTTGGCCTCGTCCAGAAGAAAGTCTCTCCTGATGAACTTCTTAAAGCCCCAATCTTTACCCTGAACGAACCTGTAAGCACGCTGGCTCTCTGCAAGAACAAAACGAGAAAGACCCGTTCAGGCCGGCGTACATCTTTCACCCGCGTACCGACTTATCGTTACGCGGACCGCCGGCGCAGCTGAAAGCCAACAACTTTCGTCGTTGTGAAAATCGTCGCGTTATTAAATCGCACGTCGCAAGTCGACGAAATTTTTAAATCTTTTAAAATACCCTGCATTGCATCCGCACGTGTATACACGCTGACAGATTAATTGCGCACGTAAACGTTTCTTGCCGACTTACCCATTGCTTTGGTTTCTTCTCTTTTGGCATTAAGAATAGAAAATTTGAACTTTGCTCTGACTTCGGATTTGTTGCACGAAACAAGAAGGAGATACAGCGACAGGTAGTCTTTGCTCTCTTCATCCAGGCCCTTAGGATTCACTCTCAGGCACCTAGAAACCAATTAGCGCATCAATTGACACGACTGCTGTCGCCTTGACGGCGATTTCTCGTTTCGTCCCCTTTCAACGCAAATTGCGAAATTTATCTCTCCCCCAAGGTCCTTCCCCTCAATTCGAAAGCCGATCGCAGATCGGCCGGATCGGCGAGTG